GCCTTGAAGGAGGTAGAGGCATTTCTGGCAAAGAATCCATCAGAAATAGTGACACTGATATTGGAAGATTATGTGGAGTCACCAAATGGACTAAGCAAAGTGTTGAGTGCTTCTGGGTTGATGAAGTTCTGGTTTGCTCTCTCAGATATGCCTCAAGATGGCCAAGATTGGCCTTTGGTCAGAGACATGGTTGCTCAAAACCATAGGCTTATTGTCTTCACTTCTCAGAGACACAAGCAACAAAGTGAAGGCATTGCTTATCAGTGGAACTTCATGGTTGAAAATCAATGTGAGTAGCATCAAAAACCACTTTAATTCTTTTTCTTTTTGAAACTAGGAAGTATAATCTATTCATAGTTAATTTAAACCCATAATTATTATCTTTGAAGATGATATATGCATGTGGCACATTTAAAGAGTTACGTTGAAATAAAATTATGAATATAAAAATGATAAAGATGATTTTGGAGGGCTCAGATTCAATTTGATTTTTTTAATATTTTAAATATTTTTTTATTTTGATATATATAAATTTAAAATGAAAATGGTCTTATATTTGGTTGAAAATTCATTGAATTTTCTGACAGGGTCAATTTTTTTTTAGGTTTTTATTAAATTTTTTCCACATTTCTCGTGATACCCGAAAAAATTTGGTTTGGATTTTCTCAAAATCCGGGAATTCTTATTTTCTTCTCGAAATCTCATATCCACTATTAGATTAAAAAAAGGATGTAATATTTTAAAAAGTAGATGTTCACATATGCAATATTATAATAATAATTTTATAAAGTATTAAACCTGAACCATCAATTTTTTTATCCAATAATAAAAATGGGATTCAAGAAGAAAAAGAGAAATAGGGATTATGAGAGGATCACCTTCCGTCTCATTTTCTATCTTTTTTAACTCTATCATTAGTACTTTAGACAATCCTCAATCACCACAGGACATTTGGATATTTTTAAGGAAGAAATGACTTTAATTTATTGAATTTGATTTCCCTATTAGAAAGATGTGTTTGAAAAATGCAGATGGGAGGGGAGGGATGGAAAAAGGAAGATGCCCAAACCGTGCAGAGTCATCAGCAATGAATGATGAAACCAAATCACTGGTTTTGGTGAATCACTTCAGAAGCATTCCAACCAAGCAAGTGGCTTGCAGAGATAATTCAAAACACCTCCTCAACATGCTCTCTACTTGTTACATGCAGGCTGCTCATCGTTGGGCTAATTTCGTTGCCGTTGACTTTTATAAGGTAAGGTCAATGGAGCCAAAAATTGTGAATACTACTTTTCTCGTCCTATTTATAAAATAGAGAGTAAAGATAATTTTTTTTTATTCTATTTATAAGTTACATTAATTTTAAATTTTTAGCATGAAATAAGGTCAAAGTTTGGAAAGAAGTTTAATTTTAAGATAGAATTAATAATATTTAAAATTTTACTTGGTTTCAGTAAAACATATTAGAAGTGAATTATAAATAATATCATAAGAATATGGCTTTTACAAATCTCATAATATACATTACTCTCTCGATCCTAATTGTCAAAGCTAATTGGATAAGTTGTTTTTATTTTAAACGTAAGATTTCAATTTATTTTGTCCGTGAATTTATAATTTACCTCCCCAAACAATCCCAACTCATTGCTCATACCAAAAAGGGCTTTTCAATAATAAGATTAGTTTCATTGTAAATGATTAAATGGAGTATTTAAAAAGAATTAGCCTATAATTTTTTTACAAATAATTAATTTAATTTTTTTTTAGTTTTTGTAAATTAATTATCTAGAATTGGATGAATTATATTGATATTGATGCAATGATATAGAGAAGTGACGGAGGAGGATCGTTTCAAGCTGTGGATATGCTGAATGGGAAGCTCTTGTGTGGATGTGATGATCTACATGCTTGTTTGGTAACTTCTTTTTTAACAATATATTACATTATTTGTGTTTTTTTAATTGAGTATAAGTATCTATATTTTTATATTATTGTTACAGCCTACTATAACAAGCTATATGAGCACCATATAATTATCCTAAATATTGTTATGTGCAGCATGGATCATCATGCAGACCCAGCTAATCAAAAGAAGCAGGTGACTGCGCTTGTCTAATTGTGTTGTGTAGATATTGCTGCCAGTTTAACTCTCCAAGAGCATGAAGAGTTTGCTTTAACTATTTCACAAAGCTTTAAAAATTATTTTGTTCCATTCTAATATTTAAAGCTCCAAACCAAAAGAATTAACAAATAAGTGTTCCAAGATTCTTCACTACCACAACCAAAAGAACATAAACCAGAAACAAGCATTAATTTGATGAAGCTCAAGCACATCACTAGAGGGGATTGCATATCAGATTAGCTTTCATATCAGCAGAAATAATTTATATGGGAGAGGAAACTTCCATAATATTTTCCAAATTTCATCCAGAATTTGATTATTAGCAATCATCAAACAATAGGCTTCATCTTTTACCTTATAAATTCTCAGAGAATTTCCTTGTCAGATTAATTTATCCTTGCTATTCGCGAAAGAGAGGGTATTATTTAATCAACTACGAGTCCTGTATGTTGGCCAGATATAAAAAGAATTATAATTATAATTAGTTGAAGACAAAAAGACAAAAGAGAGAATATATTATCATTATGGTTTATGAGCCGCCTTGTGCTTATGGTTTATGAGTTGTCAAACGTGAAATCCACTTTTTTCCTTTTTAAAACAAAAACAGAGAACGTGAAAACCAGTTTCTAAAAATTGCAATTGGGATTATACTGGGGAGAATAATGACCTATTTAACATTGGGAAAATTTTGGGGAATTAATTTCAAGCAACCCCCAAAAAATTCTGAAATATCACTATAGGATCAAAGAACCAAACTGAAATTAAAATTAAGAGTAAGATTACAATAATACCCCTCATTTTTATTTTTTTTAAAATAAATATCGGAGGCCTGATTACCGGCGCTCAGGTGGCCGCTACTGTAGCTCCAGTGGCCAGAATTTTTTTTTTTTTTAAATAAGATGGTCAAGGGAAGGTTTAAACCCATGACCCTTTAGCATACCAAAAATGATGTAACCACCAAGCCAAGTAAACTATTTAATTATGTGATGCAAATAAAAATATATATAATAAAGCAAACACAACTGCCAAGTGTAAGTGAACAAATAAAATTCGATAATTTACAAGTAAAATTCAGCAATTTACAACAAAAATTTGACAATTTACAAATAATATAATGGAATTCACAACCCAAAATGCAAGTGTTTAAGTGTACATGAGCAAGTGAAATTCGACAATTTACAAGTAAAATCTAGCAATTTACAACAAAAATATGGCAATTTACAAATAACATAATAGAATTCACAACCCCAAATGTAAGTGTTTAAGTGTAAATGAGCAAGTGAAATTCAGCAATTTACAATAAAAATTTGATAATTTACAAATAACATAATAGAATTCATAATTCTAAATACAAGTGTTTAAATATCAGTGAACAAGTGAAATTCAGCAATTTATAACAAAAATTTGGCAATTTACAAATAACATAATAAAATGGATTATTTTTTTATATTTAGAACTAAATTAAATATAAACTATTATATTAAAGATGGAAGGCAGGATATTTATTTGCATAACTCAGAGCATCTTGTGTGTATATGTGTATACATATACATGTGTGTTTACCGAAGCAGGGATTTATTTTGAGTGACAAAACTAAGATGGATGACAGCCAAAAGCATATCCTTTTTTCGTTGATTTTTTTTTCCTCAAATATCCAAACTTGTCCGTTTATTACTTATTCTCTTCGTCCATATGGAACTTTCGCTCCCAATAATATTTTAAACTTTGGCTGCTTCTCACTTTCATGTTCATGGACCCCATCCCTCTCAACTGAAGTGGGCCATTAATTTCCACTTTTTCACTTGGCCAAATTTAAATCTCTCCCAAGAAACAAAAAAATTAAAACATAAAAAATAAGGCCAAATCTACTAAATGATTGCATAGATTATCTAATTTTAAGGGATTTTATGCTTTATGAAATAAATATGTGGAAAAAAATCTTATCTCATAAAGTATAAATAACTCATTTTATTTATTAAATTTCATACAACCTACAACACTCGCTGGCCAAAAAAAAAAAAAACCAACGTACAACACTCGCATTTAATTAATTGAAATGGTTAAAAATACTTTTATTATTTTAATTTTGTATCAGTTTTTTTATTATTGTAAAAATAAAAAACATCAAATACTAATTACATGTAGAAAATTTATTTTCTTACCTTCTACTTGCTCCATCCCTCGTTATAAGAAATATCTAATAAAATCATGTGGTTTTTAAAATATTAGTTAAATTTAGTTAAAAATAATAAATACGTAAGATATATACATATTTTTTTTTAATTATACATAGTTTGCAAAGAATATGAATAAGAAATAATGAGTAAAATTTTATCATCAAAAAATAATGAATAACACATATTTAATGGGAGTAAAAATTAAAAAATGAATTTAAAATTTTATTTAAAAAAGATCCGTTTCCTATATTGAGTGATACTACTATAAAAATATTATTTTTTATTAAGAGTTAAGGTGCACCCAATGCCCCTAAACTATTTTTTCAGATGCGTTCAATATTTTAAAGTAATATTTAGTGCATTTAGTGTTCTAAACTAATTAAAATGATCTACAGATGTCCCAAGTTAACAGAACCGTTTCTTTTGTCCATTAACTCCAGACTTAGCTTAAAATTGTCCCTTTTCCTCTCTTCATTCTCAAAGGTGACCCTTCCATGTTCCATGGCTGCCTTAGAAATTTTTAGCTTCATTCCCTCTGATCTCCAAAAACCCTAACAGCTTCACCTTCAACCGAATCTGCTCCGTCGCCGTCCGCTCCATTGTCGTCTGCTCTGTTGCTGTTGACGACTGTACCAGAGCACGCGTGTCCGGTGGTTCTGGTTGACTCACAAGAAAATGGGGTGCGTCTCGTGCACACACTAATGGCATGCGCGGAGGCGGTTCAGCAAAACAATTTGAAGCTAGTGGAAGCACTTGTGGAGCATGTGGGGAGGTTGGTGGCGTCTCAAGCCAAAGCAATGAGGAAGGTGGCTTGCTGCTTTGCTCAAGCTTTAGCTCATTGGATTTACAGAATTTCTCAACCGTTCATCGAGTCCTACCCTTACTTGAAATTTGCCCATTTCACGGCGAACCAAGCCATCCTTGAAGCGTTCCCCACCGCTGATAGAGTTCACGTCATCGATTTCGAGCTCAGGCAGGGGATGCAATGGCCGGCATTAATGCAAGCCCTTGCATTACAACCCAATGGTCCTCTGACTTTCCGCCTCACCGGAATCGGAACTCCATGAGATTTGACCCGAATAAGCTGTTGGGGGTTTTTGGAGATCAGAGGAAATGAAGCTGGAAAATTTCTAAGGCAGCCAGGAAACCTCAAACTCTCGAAGGGTCAACTTTGAGATAGAAAAGGGTCAATTTTGAGCTCAGTCAGGAGTTAACGGAGAAACAGAACGGATCTGTTAGCTTGAAATATCGGTACACTGTTTTACGAAAACACTGGATACACTTAAAAATTATTTTTAAGATATTTGACATACCTAAAAAAATAATTTAAAATGCTGACTGCACCTTAACTTTTTTATTAAAGGGATGAGGTAAAAACTTGCAACTTTTTTTTTTTTGGGTGAATTAAAAACTTGCAACTTTGTTTACGATAATAGATAGACGACGCCTGGGAACGCGACGCTTGGCTAGCTGGGCCTATAAGACAGAACTCGGTCTCCCACACTTTGCCGCGTTGAATCGCATCTGCCATCTTCTCAAATCCGCTGTCTTCTTTCCTCTTCTGCTCTCTGCGTTTCTCTCTCACTCTGTAATGGCGGAATCTTCAGCCAAACCTGTGCCTCTTCTGAAGGATGAGCTCGACATCGTAATCCCGACGATCCGGAACCTCGATTTCTTGGAGATGTGGAGGCCGTTCTTCCAACCTTACCACTTGATCATAGTCCAAGATGGCGACCCTTCCAAGACCATCAAAGTCCCTGAGGGGTTCGATTACGAGCTCTACAACCGCAATGACATCAACCGGATCTTAGGTCCTAAGTCCTCTTGCATTTCCTTTAAGGACTCTGCCTGTCGGTGCTTCGGCTATATGGTCTCTAAGAAGAAGTACATCTACACCATCGATGATGATTGCTTTGTAAGCTCTCCATTTCTGGACTTTGTTTTGCTCCTTTGCTTCTGATTCGTGGTTGAGAATATTGAGCTAAATTCTATTATTCTCTTCTCATAAATGCTACTACTTTGTTCATTGCTTTTACTGAATTTAAGTGTTGATGTGTGGTAAATCGTGAGATTTCGTGCCTCGTTGAGTTTGTTTCCTGGTATAGTGTGAGGATTTGATTTGTTTGAGCTTGTGCTGTAACTATAATTGCGTGATTTGACTGAGTCTTTGCTTCTAGGCGATACTACCTCCATGTTTGGTCTATTAGCCTCACAGAGGTGGTGCCATTATGTGTTCTAATGTGATGCCTCCTTTGTTCTTGAAACTTCTATATGCTTCTTTTTAGTGCTGGGCGAACTTTCAAGTGTTCGAGATCCTGTTGCCTGTGAAGTTGGTGCTAGTTAACACGATAATTTCCCCGTGTGCAATTGGTTTGGTTGGTTAATTTTTGTTCGAGCTCATTTGTTTAGTCTTTTGCGCTGGCTAGTAAGGATCTTGAACAGACTGTTTCCTATCATTATGGGGCACTTTCAGATCTTTCTCCATCGTCTTCGTCTTCAAAGATTTATTGGAAACTTTCAGATTTCCACCCCTTTTTATTTTTTTTATCTTTTATGAATCGAGGCTAGACTGGCTAGTGATATTAAAGGTTTCATTGCGCATTTCCGTGCCCTCTTGTTTCTGTTTCTTTCTGTGTCGTGATTTTGAATTTACATTTAAGCTAAAGATTAGCGTATATTATAACTTTAAAAGCAAGCTATTGCCTATGATGGTAAACATTTCTTTCTCCCAGGATTATTGTAAAAGAAAATTAAATGCTATGGTTTTTATGAAATATGAACATGATTTGCTAAATATGTTCTATGTTCATGAGCAGGTTGCTAAAGAGCCCTCTGGCAAGGATATCAATGCACTTGAGCAGCACATTAAGAATCTCCTCTCTCCTTCTACTCCAGTTTTCTTCAATACTCTTTATGATCCTTACAGAGAAGGTGCTGATTTTGTCCGTGGATATCCTTTCAGTCTACGTGAGGGTGTCCCCACTGCTGTTTCTCATGGTCTCTGGCTCAACATTCCCGATTATGATGCTCCAACACAGCTTGTCAAGCCTCTTGAGAGGAACACCAGGTTTGTGGGTCTTCCATTGAGGCAATGAGGCAATACATACTCCTCTTATGGGTGTTATCGATATTTATCGTCCTGTTTAGTTTACTATCTATATTTACTATCTATATTTTTTCAGGTATGTTGATGCTGTCTTGACCGTGCCAAAGGGAACATTGTTCCCCATGTGTGGTATGAATCTCGCATTCCACCGTGAGCTTATTGGACCTGCCATGTACTTTGGACTCATGGGTGATGGTCAACCTATTGGACGTTATGATGACATGTGGGCTGGTTGGTGCATGAAGGTATAAAGAATCATTTGTCCCTTTTAGTGGCAACTTCTAGATTAAGCATTTTTACAAGAGCTTTATGAATTAATAATGATAATTTTCTTGCAACGATAATATTTTTCACGTGTTTTGATTCATTAACGTCTATTCCTTACAAGTTATTATTATTTTTCAATTCATTTCCTTACGCATTTCAATCATAACTGTGATCATTTTATATCATTTTGGGAAGATTACCTGAATATCTTGATAGCAACAAGTTTTTTGAAGACTAAACTTACATCGAGTCTTTTGTGTTACAAAAGTAAACTTATGATGAACCTTTTCGAAATATCGAATCAAGTAAAACAGGCATGATAAATCTCCCTTTTTCCTTCAAGTCCATTGGAAAACTCGTTAACAAATATCTGAACATAGCATCTAATTAGTAATATTCCCCAGTGTTTTTAAATATAGAATAAACTTTTTCACGACATGATGAACAGTGTTCTATGAACTTGCAGGTTATCTGTGACCATTTGGGGCTTGGAGTCAAAACTGGTCTGCCCTACATATGGCACAGCAAAGCAAGCAACCCCTTCGTTAATCTCAAGAAGGAATACAAAGGTATCTTCTGGCAAGAAGAGATCATTCCATTCTTCCAAGCTGTCACCCTACCAAAAGAATGCACCTCTGTTCAAAAGTGCTACATTGAAATCTCCAAACAGGTCAAAGAAAAACTAGGAAAAGTGGATGATTATTTCGTCAAACTAGCTGACGCTATGGTCACTTGGATTGAAGCTTGGGATGAGCTTAACGGTCCATCGGAAGCAAATTCTTCAAAGCAAGCTAATGGCGCTGCCAAGTGAACCTCTAATTGTTGTGGTCCGTAGCGTCCAAAGTTTGTAGCCTATTGTCATTTAGATTTTTCATCATGGTAAATCATATCTATTATTGTTATTTATTTTTACGATTACTATTGTTATTTTTACTCATGACACTGTATTTGTCACTGTATTTGTTATTGTTTACCTCTTAAATTCAGTTGAAATCATGATTTTGGTTGAGCGCATTGTTTTTCTTTCCTTTGCATTTCTTTTTTAAAGAAATTTATTGTCACCCGGTTCAAGAGGCTTCCTTTGATATCCTCGACATTAATATACATTTGTCTATATACGTATCAAATCTGTAGAATGGTGAATCATTAATGATTAATCATCTTAGACTTTTTATGTGGCTTCTTATAATGTGAAATATGTTCCCTTCCTTTGACCTTTTGTTCAAGTCTTGAAAAGATTTTCAGCCTGTCAATTTAGTCTTCGCTAGTCTACTCTCGTCGACCAATTTCTCTAGCTATAGAAGGGACTCAAACAACACCCTTCACACTCACCCACCCCTATATGATAATACTGGGGGCATATAACTAATGACCTCCTCTGTAAAAGGTGTCATCTGGTGCCACTTGAACTTTGATCTCTTGGCTAGCTTGATTTCTCTATACATTCCACTTTCGACAACAATTCTGGGCAAACAGAGTATGGAATCTCAAACCATCCATTTGGTATTCGCCATGCGTGAATTGCATTACTTCTCCCACTCCCATGAGTTTTAGGATCAAAATCAAGGTTAAACACAGCACAATCATTACCAACAAGGATTGACTCTAACGGAAGGGGTTAGCTCTTTACAATATGATAAATTAAGATTTAATTTTATGTCCAGAGAGATATCCATATTTAGTGTTTTATAGTACCTTAAATAAAATTACTTCCAAAAAAGAGAACACTTGCACTTAGCTTAAAAAAACAACATAACCGTTTGTACAATTGTTAAGTGATCTAGTTTTTTTTTTTTTTTTTACATCACGTTATTCAAATATGTATACACATATCATTTGCATTGGTATGTTATTGACACTCTAGACAAAAGCATAGTTGTAGATGAGTTGTTATTTACATTAGATTTTTCCCCTATTTACCTTGTCAAGTATGAAATTGTAGTTAGTGGAGACTGGAAAAAACCTTGTTATTTGCCATGAAGCCTACAGATGTGTAAAATTGTTCACTTTTTTTTTTGTTTGCCAACATAAAATTGCTCAATTGTTAATTATATGTATAATCATTTCATAATTTCGGTTGGGAGTTATAGTTTACTTTGAGTGGTGTACTTCATTGGGTTGTATCAGTTTTTCAAATTATAACTTATGTTATTAAATTCCACGCTAGTGGAATTATAAAAGCCAAAGTTTAAAATGCACTAATCTCAATGTGATTACATTTTATAAAAATATTTTTGCACTTTGACTTGCCATTAAAAGAAAACGAGTCACTAATCTGTTAACCTACAGTGCCATCAAGGCCAAAAAAAAAAAAACAATGCCTAACGATCACGTGACAGGTAAAAAAAAAAAAAAACCTTTTTTGGCAGTGATTAAAAATCCACTTTGAAAAGACTTGTTCTCTCTGGGAATACAGCATAAACATTTTTATATGAAGTAAAATATCATGTTCTAGGCATCTCTACCGTTTCTTCGAGACACTGAACACCCCCTTCTCTCTTCCTTTCCAAAACTGAGAACTAGGAGCATCGATTACACAGTAAGCATAAACACATTGACCCAATTTAAATCTGTACAATCAAAATTGAAAAGTAATTACTCAAGTGTAAGATAAAATTGCAGAATTTTGTAGCAACTAAAGATATGAACATTGCTGGCCAAAGGACAAACAAGATATGAACATTATGTACAGTTCAGGAAGGTATTCTTGATAGCTAGAAATGGTGTTCATGAGTATAAAGGCTATAAGTTCTGCAAGAGCTTGTCGGCTAGACGAATGAGGATAGCTAGGTGGCATTGTCATTTTCTATTTGTTATTCTGCATCAAGCTCATTATGAGGCACATAAACCAACAACTGACCATTACCAGCCACCCCCAATGCACCTCCCCTTGATTCATCTGTAGCAATACAGGTAGCAGTGCCTTCTGATAACCCACAGAAATTTATTTTGCATCAATACTTGAGATATAAAATCAGGGAGCAGGTCTAAACATCTTGCTCATATCATGGAATGGAAATTACATGATATATTAAACTACATCACTAAGGTATCCAGTATTGAGACTAATGACTGAGAAATGACCTATGACAAACTTGCCAGTCGAAAATGCACAGAATGCCAGTAAAAGGAGCGTCGGGTTAGTAAAGTAAAGGTGGGAATATCTATGGATGATATAAAAATATACAAATACAAGTACATTGTGCAGCAGTTTTTTTCTACCATTATAGATATTAAATATTGATTGATTTTCCAATTCAATGTAGATTTACAGTAGCACTCTAGTTGATGCATTCATATTTTTCCACCTATAATCTCCTTCTGAATAAAAAAGGAGGTATGCGAATCAACTTATTGACTATGGATCTCACCCTTCCGCTGGGACCTAAGATAATAGTTTAGTTCACCCTAAATGAACAGATAGAGTATCTCTGTAAAGTAATCCGAATAATAAGATTTTATGGCTAGGTGTGGATTGATTCGAGCACATTAGACTAACCATCTCATTAAGTGGCAGTAAGAGACAGGAAAATAGTCCATCTCCAGCAGCACAAAACATCAAAAATCATTTCGTCAAGGCCACCTATGAGCGCTCAGGTGAACCTAATTTTTTAAGGTTTTGATATGGATATATGGACTTTTTTCCTCACAGGCAAATGTTACTTGCAATCGTGCCTAAAAATTGGCTATGATTCCTGGGAAGCCGATTAAGGAAATATGAGTTCTGCCGCTCAGTTTGAAGGAACATTTGAACCACAACTGCCATGGACAACTCTAGGGCGGCAGAATTTGCCAGTTTATCAGTCAAAGAGGTAATCAGGTAATAGCAGCATCAGTTTCTAGGAAAAAGAGTTTTTCAGTAAGTTATTAGTTAGG